GTGTTTAAATGTTATCTAAAGCAATAATAATCAATTTTAAAATAAAAGTAATTAGAGTTTAAGAATCATGTAACGAATTATTGAAAAAAAAAAAGCTTTTTTACTAATAAAAAGTTAAATTAACTTTACATCTAGGCTTTAATATATTTTTCTGTTTTTGATCATCATTTCGAGAAACACAATAATTAATTTAAAACCCCATATCCAAATGCCCCAGAAGATATGATAAAATCAAGTTTGTTAGAGAATAATAACTCAAACTTATCAATTTTTTTTGCTTATAGCTGTAGTTAAAATAACAATTACTACAACCAAAGAGTCTAATAGTCATAATAGTCACACACAACAACCACTCTCAGGGCATCCTAAGCACAATGTCTACCCAGTGATTTTAGTGTCGCATTTTCATTTAGTGCAATAGGAATTAACATAATACAAAAGGGACTCAAACTATGACATAATGCAAATTAGATAGCACAAAATGGACATTTGTATATAATACGAGTTTGATCATGAACACGACTAAACCCTTATGCTTGTCCAACTGTGTGACAGAGACAACTCATTCTATCTGGCAACCCAAGTTGTACGTAGCAACCACACTGTCTAGCTTGCCTGATCAGTTTTGCTATACAACTAGAGGCACTGAAACCTTATTATTTTTTCAAAAACCAATCTTATGAGTATATATACTTATATTTTGCCTGTTTTAGTTCTCTCGTAAGAAAATTATACTTACTATCAAATAACGTTGTTTTTTTTTTTTTTTTTTTTTCATGAAGTAGGCACCCACATTTCTTAACCTAAAGAGATACAAACTTGAATGACGAAATGGTGGTATTTTCAAATTAAGAGACCCAATTGTAAATTTTGTATTAAATGTCAAGGATCTCTCTAATGACCTCACGAGTAACAAACAACAAATCTGAACCGTTCAATTTGCTCACAACTACTCCGTAAGTAGGCCCCACCTACGTGTACGCTTTCTACTTTTTACAGCGCTCTTTCTGCACTAGCCACGCTGCTCCTTTCCCAAAGATTTTCCGCTCTCGTTCTCCTTGGATTTTCGTGCCCCCTCTCTCTCTCCGTGTATGTGTGTGTTTCATGCACAGAAGATATGAGAGCGAAAAAGTAGACAAGACACTCCAAACCTCGAGATTCACTGATCAGAATAAAGATAAAAATGTTGCACAAATTTCTTTGCAATTTTCTCTTTCCTCTCACCCAGTGATTATCGATTCCCGTTCTCCGTCATCCGTGCACTGATTCGCCGGATTCTGATGCTACTTCAGCATTCATAAGCGTAGGTTTCCGGTTCTAATTATACTACAATTTGAGTTTGAGCGGTTAATTATTAAGGTGATTTAGTAGCAATTGCTTTATTTTCGAGTAGGAATTTGTTTTTACAATACTAATTGTGGTATCTAACAGCTTCTCAATAGGAATCACCACTGATTCTTATATGTTTTGTTCGTTCGTCATCATCGTCGCATCTGCGTATCTTAAACGCCGGTTTTCAGGTTTGATCTGACTGGACTGTGTGTGTTTTAGTGGAAGACTGTGGAGTTGTTGAATGATAGCGTAGCAATTGCTTTTGTTTCCTGCAGGAACTAGTTTGTCAATACTACATGTGCCATCTGTTAGTTTTTCAATTGCAATAGCTATTGATTTCTATTCGCTGTCGTACATGCACTGCTTTTGTTAACGCTTCTTGTTAAGTTCAATTTGATTCATCTTTTGGTTCCTGGAAGATTGTTGGAGTTGTGGACGTGAATTAGTAGCAATCGCTTCCTTTCTTCCAGGAATTAGTTTTGTTATACGTCGTTTTCCAAAAGGAATTAACATCCGTTCTTATCCATCTTCGTTCATTCGATGCTTCACTAGACTGTGATGTTTGTCCAGCAGCATTGTTACACCTACCTATCTTAAACTGCCGATTTTCATGTTTAATTAAACCCAAACTTTGTGTTTTCTTGGAAATAGTTGGACTTATAGAAGAGACTTGGTAGCAATTGACTTGTCTTTCTTTTTGCACCAATTGTGTAGTCTGTAAGTTTTCTGATTATGCGTATCAGCGGTTTGATAACAGTCCAACTTAGCATGATCTGATTTTCTGATTTGTTTCTCTGTTCTTATTGATTAGGTGAAGTTTGTTTTTGGTGGTTTTGTTTTTGTTGACTAATGCATTTCCTTGTAAGTATATTCCCTAAAGGAAAATATGGATAATAGTTTTGTGTGTGTAGTTGTTAAGTGTTACTTTCGAGTAAAAGAAGAAAGATCCAGATTTCATATGCCAGAGGATAAAAGGGAAAGAAAAATACATTCTGTCTTTGATGAAACATAATATCTTTTTGTTGGAAGTTACATACTTTGTGCAAAAGTTTTACTTGTTTTATTCTTTTTTCTTTTTTAAGTAAATACAGCAACAACTACTTCACTTTTTCTTCTTACTCTAAAAGACAAGAATATCTTTTTTGCATCTTAGAATCAGTCTAACATGCAATGTAAAAATTTTCCTTTTTTTCCCAAATTGACCAAGGCCAAAAAAATGATAACGCACTTTTTAAAGGAGTACTGGAGTAGGAAAGAAGAAATAATCTCTTCCCCTTATATAATTAATATTAGAAAAAGAAGATGGATATAAGGCTTGTTTCATTTGTCTTTTAATCTTTTACATTAGGAAAGTACTACAAACTCTGGGACTATGATGCAAATTGTTTCTTCTGTTTATTCTTGCCACTTATGCATCGCATAAATTATGATGTGTAAATCCTACTCCCCTTGTTCACAAGGGTAGGCATAAGTTTATAGATGTACAAAGTTATGCTGCCAATTGCAAATTTATCTAAAGAAAGACATGATTACCTGTCATGGTATTCATGGTGAAGTGAATCTTCCGAATAGTGATATAAGTTTGCCTTTCATTAAATTTTGATTTTTTGCTAGAGTTATATCTCAATCACGGAATGATGTCTCCTTTTCTGCAACAAAACTGCTAATTGACCATTATTTTGCTGGAAACAATGATGCTCAATGGTCGAATTATGAGCTACAACTACAGACAGAGTGATTAATAAAAAAAATTATTACCTTTATGTTATATTTACGTAAATTATAATTGCTATACGTATAACCAACTGCTATACACATGACAATGTCTTTGTATGGGATAATGCCTAAAAATCTAGATCTCATCAGCTGATGCTAATTCAATTATAAATTGCAGGTAGACAAATTCTCAAAGTTTCGCTTGGACTTGTGAAAAGGAATCATGAAGAGGAAGTATGCTAATTTACACCAAAACACACATAAATTTGATTCACTACGTAAGATACAGATGTTTTTATAAATATCTACATATTTACGTTTGTCTTGAACTGAACTGTGTTTTCTATTTAAAAGTTGGTAATGTCTCTTCTTATATGCAACCAGCTTTTGAAGCTTACTGGTGTGGTTCATGGAAGCCTGTGGAGTGCTTAAGAATCAGAAATGGAGTTGTTAGCATGTTAATCATAAACGAAGGAGAGACAACTGAAGAAACCCTTCCCATGTCAGACCTTCGAATAAGGTCAAGAAAAGCAAATTTGGCTGATTGCACTTGCTTTTTAAGACCTGGAATAGATGTTTGTGTGCTCTCTACTATTCCATCAACAGAGGAGGAGTCAAGCAATGAGAACCCAAAACCTGTAACTTGCTTTCTAGTCAAATCAAAACCATACTATTCTCTTTAAGAACACACACACACACATCTATGAATTTTTACTTATACTTTGACAGGTCTGGATTGATGCTAGAGTAAGCTCAGTAGAAAGGAAGCCTCATGAGGATGATAAATGCGTCTGTGAATTCCATGTGAGCATCTACATGAAGCAAGGTCCTGTTGGGTTGATCAAGAAAGCGGTTCATAAAGAGACTAAAATGCTACATATTGATCAGATGTCCATTCTTCAAAAGCTTGAAGGGAAGCCTTGTGAAAGCAACCATTATCGCTGGCATCTTTCTGAAGACTGCAATTCACGTCGAATATTTAAACTATTTACAGGAAAATTCTCCTCAGATATCTCATGGTTAATTGTTGCATCTGTCTTCAAGCAGCTTGTTTTTGATGTGAGATCAGTCGACAACCAGATAGTGTATCAAATTTGGGATGGTGATAGTGAGAAAAGTTTCCCAAATTCTGAAAATCCTTCAACTGCTGTTAACTTCAAACTAGAAAATGGAAATTCAATTCCTTTCCTTGTCCCCTTCATAAAACCCCAAGAGGAAAAGAAAGCTATTTGTGGTGTGGATGAATTTGCTTCATCATCCTACTTTGACCTCATGGGCTTACGCAGGTCAAAGCGTAGAAATGTCCAGCCTGATCGCTATTTAGGTGATGATGACGTGTTAGAAGCAGAAGTTGATTTGTCTCGTGTTGGATTATACAGACCAAACAGTTCAAAATACGAGCAAGTCCCAGTGGCATTCTCCATCCAAGATGATCATTCGTTCACAGATGAAAACAAATTGGAATATTTCAGGAAAGTATATAAACAAGAGGGTTATCTTGGAAGGCAGAATGATACTAGCAAGTCAAAGGAGGTGAGAACAGAAGTTCCTTACAAACAAGATTCAGGGGAACACAAACAAAACCACAAACACTCTAATTCTATGGCTTCTCAATCTCATTCATCAAGGCCTTACGTATATGCTGATTCTTATAAGCCTGGAGCTTCTGATGATGAAGGAGGTGATATTAATATTAGTGACATATGGGCTAAATACTTTAGCATGCAAGGTTCTTCTAAAATTCATAGAAAGAAATACAAAGCTCCCCAAATGGACTATGATAGTTTAGGAGGTGGATTGTGGAAGGGGAATATAGTTAATAAACGAGGTCGTAAAAAGCGAGGCTCTTCTGGAAAGGAGAGTATCTATGATTCAAGGACTTCTTTTAGGAAATCTGTTTGTGCAAGTGTTTATAGAGAACTAATGAGCAGATGCATGAGGAATATAGATAAATCCATCAACATAGAACAACCAGCTGTGATTGACCAGTGGAAACAGTTTCAGTTGGGCAAATCCTTGGAACTAAGGGAGAATAATCAAGTACCTTTGAAAGAAGAAGAAGAAGAGGAAGAAGAAGAGATGACAGAAGAAAAGGAACTTGAAATGTTGTGGAAGGAGATGGAATTAGCACTCGCCACAACATATCTTATGGAAGAAACAGAGGTGTGTTAGTTGTTATGTGTATATACCTTTTTTCTATGTGATATACTAATATTCCAGTTAAACTTTCAGGGTTTAAATGAAATGCAAAAATCTAAGAGCCAGGAGCCTAAATGTCGACATGATTACAGACTCAATGAACAGTTTGGGATTATCTGTAGATTATGTGGTCATGTTAGATCTGAAATAAAAGACGTCTCACCCTCCTTTGTAAGTTAAACTTGTGAATCCCTGGTTGTAAGTTGTTAACATATAAACATTTTCAATATTAATTGTGTTTGTTGTATGAATTTACAGTTACCAGGTGTAGTCTGGACACCTAGCAAAGAAACCCGAACAGAAGAAGATGATTCAGAGCAAAACACACAAGATGCAGACACACGTCTTGAAATTGCATGTCGTCCTGCTTCATCCAACATGTCTGTATCAGATGAGAACGAAAATGTGTGGGCCCTGATTCCCAACCTTAGAGACAAACTACGGTTTCATCAAAAAAGAGCTTTCGAATTTCTGTGGAGAAATCTAGCTGGAGATATCATACCTTCAGAAATGGAAGCAGCCAGCAAGAGAAGAGGCGGCTGTGTCATTTCCCACACTCCAGGAGCAGGGAAGACATTGCTTATAATATCGTTTCTTGTTAGCTACTTGAAGCTGTTTCCTGGGTCCCGGCCTTTGGTTCTGGCTCCAAAAACAACTTTATACACGTGGTACAAAGAAATCATTAAATGGGAGATTCCGATTCCGGTGTACCAAATCCACGGTGGTCAGACATACAGAGAACAAGTTTTAAAAAACAAACTGAAACTGGCTCCCGGCCTTCCCCGAAACCAAGACGTGATGCATGTGTTAGACTGTTTAGAGAAAATTCAAAAATGGCTCACAACCCCAAGCGTCCTCTTAATGGGCTACACTTCCTTTCTAACACTCACCCGTGAAGATTCAAGCTATGCTCATCGCCAGTATATGGCCAAAGTCCTTCGCCAATGTCCCGGGATTCTAATTCTCGATGAAGGCCATAACCCAAGAAGCACAAAGTCAAGACTAAGGAAAGCCTTGATGAAAGTCGACACCCCGTTACGTGTCCTTCTATCCGGTACTCTTTTCCAGAACAACTTTGGTGAATACTTCAACACTTTGACATTAGCCAGACCACGTTTCGTCAACGAGGTCTTGAAAAAACTAGATCCCAAATTCAAGAGTAGAAAGAAAGGCGTTCTTTCGAAATTTTCACTTGAAAACAGAGCGAGAAAATTGTTTGTTATTAAAATAGCAGAACAAATCAACTCAAACGTTCAAAAGGACAGACAACAAGGGTTGAACATTCTAAGAAGCTTGACGAGCAAGTTCATCGACAACTATGAAGGTGGCAGTGCTGAAAATCTTCCAGGTCTGCAATGTTACACTTTAATGATGAAGTCCACCACCATTCAACAAGAAATCTTGCAAAAGCTTCAAGACAGGAGACCAGTGTACAAAGGCTTTCCTTTAGAACTTGAACTTTTAATCACACTCGGGTCCATACATCCCTGGTTGATACAAACCACAGCATGTGCAAGTCAGTATTTTGAACCAGCAGAATTAGAAGCCCTCAACGGACTCAAATTTGACCTCAAACTCGGCTCCAAAGTCAGATTTGTGATGAATTTAGTCCCTCGTTGTCTACTCAGAAAAGAAAAGGTCTTGATATTTTGCCACAACATTGCTCCAATGAATCTGTTTATAGAAACATTCGAGCGGTTTTACGGGTGGAAGCAAGGCGTAGAGGTTCTAGTCCTTAAAGGAGAGCTGGAGCTATTCGAAAGAGGAAGAGTGATGGATAAATTCGAAGAGGCTGGAGGTCCATCGAAGGTCATGTTGGCTTCCATCAATGCATGTGCTGAAGGAATTAGTCTCACAGCAGCTTCACGGGTGATCTTATTGGATTCGGAATGGAATCCTTCTAAAAGCAAACAGGCAATCGCTCGTGCTTTCCGCCCTGGTCAAGACAAAGTGGTTTATGTCTACCAGTTGCTTGCAACGGGGACCCTAGAAGAAGAGAAACACAGCAGGACCACATGGAAAGAATGGGTGTCGAGTATGATTTTCAGTGAGGAACTGGTGGAAGATCCTTCTCATTGGTCAGCACCCAAGATTGAAGACGAGTTGCTTAGAGAAATTGTGGAAGAAGATCGAGCTTCACTGTTTCATGCCATTATGAAGAACGAAAAAGCTTCCAATATGGTGGTTAGAGGTAGAGAGTAATTAGTAATTACTAATTTAAAATATCTCCTTTATGTTTCCTAAATAAACTGTGGTTTGGACTTTGGCATATATATAAATGTCTATTTAATAAAGATTTGGTTTTTGTTAATTTACAAAAATTTACAAGAACTTATGGGAATAATCTGGATCAGTAGATGGTGTCGATTGTAAGTCTCCTTCTTGGAGGTGTTTTCTCTACGACTTGCTTTTGTAGTTCCATGAAAGTTGAGCCTGTATGCGCGAAAAGTCTCCTCAGGTTAATCACCGACAATTCATTAAAACTACCAACTGCCAGGTCAGCTTGCACCAGATCGTACGCTGGATGTGCACCAATAAGCCCAACCGCCATCATCGTGCAGTTGTGAGCTGCAGTTATACCCCGTGGATCATCTTCAAACACCACACATTTCGATGGCTTTCTATCCAACTACAAAAACAATTTTAAAAAAAAAAATCACCATTTTGAAATAATCAAAAATGTTTTTATATTTAGTGCTTTTATCAAAGAAAACTAATTACTTTTACTGCAGCAGAAAGTAATCTGTGAGCCATGGAATCCATGCCATCTTCTTCCGTTACTATTGCCTATAGTATAAAGTATAAACACCGAAATATTTGGTCAGTCAACCAAGATTTTAAAAAGACATGCTCACATAGTGTGTAAAATATATGTACCTGGAAATATGTCATGAGCCCCATATTTTCCAATATTTCAACCATGACTCGCCTATCAAGACTAGAAACAACAGCACAAGGGATTCGGGCGGTTGATACTGCATCCAACCACTCTTTCAGGCCTTCCAAGGGTTCTGAAAGCTGATCAAGAACCACAAAACATGATTTTGAGCCATTCATTCATTGATATGAAAGACACTTAATGACTAAAGAAAGAGAGCCGACCTTGAGGAGATTGTTGCTATACAACTGTGAAAGCTTCGACTTTAATCTTTCTAACTCACATGCTTCATTCCCCCACAACAACACCTAAGATTAAGAGTTACGACAGTGTTAGGAGCAAGTACACCAAATGGCAAAATAAAATCCAGGAAATATAACAAAATCAAAATCGATTTATGTTTTATATACAAGAAGGGATTTAACCTTATCTAAAACATGATCAGGTGCACCATGAAGCAAAAGCCTATGAACATCATCAGGGATCTCCTTTCCTACATTTATAGCATAAAAGTGAGCATAAGTTACCCTAAAAAACAAACCAAAAAGGTGCAGGATTAAGGTCTCTAAATAACACAATTATCATCACACGCAATTAAAAAATCATTTCTACATACCTTCTTCATGTGCAAGTTGTTTCCAAGCACTCAATTTCAATGCTTGAGTACCAGCCTGGTCACCATAAACAAATGCATTTCAGAAGTTGGCTAAAACTACTTGACTAAAGCAATAAACAATAAGTTGTCATTTGTATAGATATAAAGCATTCAACTCGGTTTTTATTTTTTGATCGGAAGTTGAGACTTGAAACTGGGAATCAAGTTCAAAAACACAACAAATAGTTGCATATATGTTTAGTAGGTGTCGTTCAATCAAACATGTACCATGTCATCGTTAAGAGACTCCAGAAAATCTTGCAAACATAAATCATAGATTAGCAAACTTACCACCACATTGTCCCATGAGAAAATAAGTCCATAAGCTTCATCAGGCTTCATAGCATATCGAATTCGTTTCAGAAAACCTTCTTGTAGTCGATCATTTAAAAAATCCTGCAACCAAAAAACCCATCATCTTCTTAAACACTTGCTATCTGAATTAAGTCTAATGAACATCAAATTTTCATTTCATAAGAAATAGGTTTCATTTTGAATTACTAGTGAAGGCTAAGAGACAGTGTAGTGCTTACAACATCAACTTTTAATGGTCCATCTGGTCTGAATGTCTCAAAACCTTCTCCATATTCAGCTCCGATTGCCTGTAATCGTATAAACCCCATGATTACAACTCAAGAATTTCCAAAAATCAAAACCCAGAAACCCCAATTGGATAATTTTACGAGTAGCCCCTAATTCGACAAGATTATACCAAAAAGAAGCGGTGAAAATCAAAAAATACCGATAGGGTTGCATATTGGATACAAAAAAGTTACCTCTTCCATAAAAATCTTGGTTGGTGTGAACTGGAATCCATCAGGCGGACCGTTTTCTTCGGAGCCATAAGAACTTGTAATCACGTTCTTTCGATTACGTTGTTGCTCAACGAAGCTCGAACGTTGTAAGCTCTGTAAAACACAGAAGCTATGAGCATATATGTATATACGAACAAACATAATAATCGAAAAGATTAGAAGAATCACCGGTAATCTGAGCTTAATGGGGAGGTGGTGTGGAAGAAACGAAGAGTGGGTGGTTGGAATCAGCCGGAAACCAAAAGCCGATTCCATGGTGTCGATTTTGTGAGAGGTCGTGTGTAAGAAGACGATGAAGTAGTACTCTATTTGCCCTCTGTTTTTATGGTGCCATTTGGGGGCTGGATTGAACCCGACCTTTTAAAAATACAATTTATTAGGTTTGGATTTGGGTTGGTCAAAAATATCACATTTGGATCAAATGATGAGTCGGAATCTTGGTTTTATTCGTATATGCTGGCCTCACAATGCTTTTGCTTAGTGAATATATATGTAATCATGTTTTATTATCCCCTCATCAAATAAATAAAATAAAATAAATGTTATCACATGGCAATAGCTAAAGTGTTTTATATACTTAACATGGTAACACATACAATCCTAATGTTTTGGATCTAAATTTTTTTTAGTTATACATGCAACAAAATTATCCAAAGCATGAAGCCTACAACCAACATACAATTTGATATTTGAATCATAAAAAAACTAGTTAGATAACTACCTCTTAGTTGTTGCTTGTAAAATTTAGCCTTTAAGAACTTAGCACTTCAACTGTGATGCTTCAAATGGTTCACAAAACACCATAAACAATTAGAGAACTTAAGAGATGTTATGAGGCACTTAAAATCGGTTGTAGTATCTCTAAGATCACTAGGGTATATAATTTTAGGCCAAGGGCATATATATAGTGTAGAATCCAAGAGTTATATGTAACTCTAATTCTTACACTTAGGCTTATGATCTATAATCCATATGGACTAAATCTTCATGGACTCTTACATAAACTTAGTCCATTATGGATCAATAGCCCAAACCATATGTATCACTGATTTACATAATCAATCCTTGTTAATTTAATTAGTCTCTTTTGATCACTAAATTAATTCCAAATTAATTCTTGATCAATACTAATTGAATAATATGATTTCGCAATTAGTATATTATACTTATAATATATTAATAAATCACAAATAACATCTTTCTCAAAATATCAATCCTATCAGATTGTTTTGGTAAATGTAACCCAAAATGGACCACACTACTCTCGGGTCAAATACATATCAATTATAATTATGAGCTTAGACACCTAATCCAACAGTCTCTCACTTAGATAAGTCTAATAAATGTAACTGCAATTACGACTTAAAACCGATTAGCAAGCATAGCTCTTAAAAGTTGTTGTCGAACTCTGACATAGTCAATGACGCGTACATTAGATAAGGGATCATATATTCCTCCATTCTAGATATCGTAGACATGAGACATGGATTATAATCATTTTTTCTGTTCATGTGTTGTTTCCTGATTTTCGATTTATGACGACTGACTAACTGAACAAATCAAATCAGTCCAGGCTTGGCCAAGCGCTTAGGGTTGTCACCACTAAATCATCGAGGAGCCCAATGATATCGCTTTTATCCCTTTAAGGGTAAAAGGAACGGATAAACTTCGGCTCATATGCTTGCTCTATTTACTCATCAAATCACACACAATAATATGTTTTATAACACCAAGTTATTGGTGCGTTTACATATTATCAATGTGCAACTGACTCGTAAACTGCAACTATATATCTCCGTTTCAAGAATATAATATATTATCGTCTCACTAATTACCCGTGATAAAATCCATGAAGTGATTAGATGAGCATGTGTTTAATCCAATACCCGAATCTTATTACATGAGTACTCATGAATACCGTAGCAAACTTGTGCTATGTCTAACACTTAGACAATCTACATATAGATTCATGACAGTCTTGCCTCAATACCTACTTCCAAAGTATGATCGAATGTGGATGGTTTGAATAATCTTATTATTTGGGAAGTCAAAACATGCGAAGTGAAACACAAGAGTAATCGAATTCAATATGATCTCAAAACTTTTGAATATAAATAAAACACCTTTTATTTAATCACCATATTGATTACACATTACTCATTGTATAATGTTTCGATTAATCAACTTAATACTTGAATTAAAACAATAGTTTGCCAACGATATTACAAAACTTTCCACTTGAGATTGATAACAAAACAATTCCAAGGAAGTGGAGTCTCAGATTCAAAGTACATTCCTTTGAACATCCTTCTTGCATAAAAGTTTCTAACCTACACATAGATTGTTAATATCCATCTCCCATTATGGAAACATTTTCATATATGTCATATGACAATTCATTATAAAAAGAATTATGTATATTCATAATAATGTCAATATGGTCCATCAATTACTATACTTCCAACTACCCACAAGCGACCAATCCTTAGCGAACATCAGATTGTCCTTAACAGTTGTTTAATAACTTTAGTTATATCCGGTTCTGGTCATTTTTCCTTCTTAATGCTCTAGGCATTTTGAAACTTAAAACACATGAATGTTATAGCATATGTAATCGATCCTATACCCGGTAGCATATGAGATACGATTCATAATGTCTTACATAAAGACATGATACTTGACCAGTCTCTTGCTATAATATTTCCATATATAGAATTTCCAATGTTGAAATATTTCAACATGGTATTCATATATATATATATATATATATATATATATATATATATATATATATATATATATATATATATATATCCATGATCCATGACTAAGTTTGTGTAGTGCGCGGTTCCTGGTACGTATTTTAAAGATGAATTTTTTTCATTTTATTTTGGGACTCGGATGGAAGGACCTACTTGCTGAGTCGAATGCCCTGACTCGATGAGTAGGCCTGTCTGGAGGAAACCCTAATTCTAAGGGTTTGCACCCTATTTAAACACCTTAACTGGCCTTCGTTACAGCCTCCACCACCTCCAAACAACATTCACGAAACCCTAGCCCATTTTAAGTGTTCTTAAGCCACAATTGTGTGTTTTTGGTGATTTTGAAGTTAGAGAAGGAAGAGAAAGCTTGAAGGTTCTTATGGAAGCATGTAGATCCAGAGATTGTGCCACTTTTCTGTAACGCCCGCAGATCCGGGCTAGTCAATTTAGAGGCAATAGGGGTCGAAAATGACTTTTCGACAAAAGATTATTTAGAATAAATAATCTTAACCAAGTTGTAGAATATGTCACAAGGTTTCCGTACATATAAAGAACACCGAAATCTGAGTTATAATGAAGAAGTTATGACCCATCAAAGTTTTGCGATGGAACTGGCACGGCACCGGGAAGCGTAAATAGTGAATTTACGATTGAGGACTTTTTAGCCTTAGTGATCTAAATGAAATTCGTAGAATATGTTAAACTAAGAGCGTCGATAAAAGAACGCCCAAATCTGACTTCGTATGAGGGAGTTATGATTTTTCTAAGATTCGGCTTAGCAGTGTACAGCCCGAAACTCGAATTTTAGTTCGAGCGGTTTTTGGCTTACGCGACCTAAATGAGAGTTGAAGATCTCATTAATAGGAACTCAACGGTAAAAATACAGACGAAAACGGAGTCCGTATGAAGGAGTTATGAATTCTTCGCGGTCATTTAACAGTCTAAACGCCTCCTACTGTTAAATTTGAGATCGGTCGAGAATTAGCCGACGAAGTATAAACGATAGTTGTAGATATTGATTTTACCTGCGCGTGGATATAAAGAACGTCGAAAACGGAGCTTGTATGCGAAAGTTATGATTTTTCTAAGTTTGAAGGCTGATACGCGATAGGGGGTGACGTGGCACCACCAGAATTGGACACGTGGCACCACCAGAAGGTTGCCACATGCACCAAATCGGAGAGTCATGACTCAGACTCGGCGAGTCCATCAGATTTCTCCACTATAAATAGAGGTGTCGAGTTCCATTCATTCTCACACCTTCAAACCCTTCTTTCTCTCTCTAAACTCTCTCTCTAAGCCTCCCTAACCCCCAAAGCCTAGGGTAACTCCCTAGCACGAGGCGGAAGCCCCGGAGCGCCCGACGGCTCCGAGAAAAGAGTCTTTCGGCTCGGGAAACGCTGCTCCAACGAAGCCCAGTTTCGCGAAAAACCAGCTATAAGTGAGCTACGCCTACGCTAGTTTTAATATAGCTTCTAATTAATCATAGTAACATTATTAGGACCTTAAAATAATTATTTGGGCTATTAGTATGAGTTATATTGAGTGTTATTTAATGCTTATATAATAATAATAATAATAGTCAGACTATTAATTCATCGTGGATATCGGTAGACTAAACCCTAGTGGTGTTGATACTAGGTTTTATCGAAGGAATGTTGTTTTGAGAGTATCGAAGCGCTGTCCGAGTGTTGAGTCACCGCCTATTAGGTGAGTGCATGGTCCCTTTCATCTTACACATAGATACGAAGTATTTTATTATAAATTACGTGCTATGTGTGCATATTGTCTAAATACTTGTTGTCTATGCTGATGAAAGATTTTTATACATGTTTTAAATGATGTAAATTGTATAAAGTATTTTATATCTACAAAATATGTTGGGTAAAACATGGGTAGATGAATAATGAGCGATAAAAGTTGATATAGAGGAACATTAGTAGCATGGACCTAGTACCCTATGGGTATACATTGGAAGCAGTGGACCTAGTACCCTATAGATGAGCACTGGCAACTGCGCCACAACCCGTAGATGTTTTAAATCTACGGTAAACGTTCTAGCAGTTACGCTCTAAGGACAGTATCGGCAGTTGCGCCTAATAGGGAGCCTTATGACCATGATAGTAGCGTTTAAAGGTCAATACCGACAAAAGCGCCTCATAGAAAATGTCCCAATTCTGGCAGCTGCGCCTAAGTGACAAGATTAGCAGCTACGCTTGACCAATGTGTCATTGGCAACAATGGACTTCATGTTGTTTCCTTGGGATGATCCTTAGGAATGAATGAATGAGAAATATTTGATTCTTAGGGTAGATCCTTAAGAATGAAGAAGATAATGGGGATGGGTAATTGGGTTGATTGTTTGACTGTTTAAATATAATAATTATATTATTGTGGGTTGAAAACCCTATGTACTCACCAGGTTTCCCAACCTGACCCACTCAGTTTATTTATATCACATATGTTGATATGAAGTCACATTACACTGAGAGATTTAAAGAGATGTAGATCACTAGTGTAAATAAATGTAAGTTTTGTTTATGCTTATGTTTCTGTATTAACGATGACATCCCAAACGTTTTGAAACGAATAAATATGTTTCTTCGAAAATGTTTTAATAACGTATTTATCATGTTTTTTTGGGAACAAATTCCGCAACATTTTTATTAAAAGAAGAACTCTGATTTTTAT